ATATATTTATATATTTTATATATATATTTATATATATATATATCACATTTTATCTTATACTTACAGTATTATTATACTACAAGCTTAATACGTGAGTGCCGACATTTCTCCAGATCTTTCTGTACGTTGAGGAAAAGATCATTTTAGAGCCACGTACACAGCAAAACTGCCTATAGCTCAACAAGTACACACTGAATAAGAAGATGACCCTTCCTGGGAATATTTTTATTATGGCCTTGGTCCTATAAGCCATGGATAAGACTATTATTCAAAATAAACATCAGAGGAAGCATTTCATGAAAAAAGGATCCTATAGACATTAAAGACGACTTTCAATCTCATTTAGCTTTAAAGATATCTCTAATCATCAGTACCTGGAATTCTGTACTGAATTAAGTACATGGAGAAAATTATGGCCTAGGGATATGTGCCCACAATGGTGTAAAGCACATCATTTTTAAAAATTACATTACGCAGTAGAATAAAGTCTCCCTCCAAACAGCTGAAATTCTTGAAATAAACACACCTCATAAGCAAATTCTGTACATGTGACAGAGAAGAGTGGAATGACCTTAAAAGGATGCACTTGTAGTCTGCATTAAAGAAACAGAAATCATAGATAATGCTTCAATTATGCTGAGAAGTCAAAGAATACTGATAGTAACATTTCAGACAATTCTGTAGGGCAAGAAAATCACTTGTGAGAAAACTACTTTATTCTTTGATTTGCTAATCAGTTCTACAGGGAGGCCATAGCATTGCACTGCTGAGGAGTGGGGAAGGAAGTCATGATATTTGATTTACTCCACTTTTAGTGAAAGAGAAAAACCGAGCAAAAAATTACATATCAAAGACCTTTGAAAGAACAAATTCAGAGTCCATTACAAGGCAGAACAGGATCAGTAACCACTCAGTCCTATGAACGAAATCAATCAATGTGTATCCACAGCTAAATCTATAAATTTATTACATAAATATCTACCTCAAGCAGGACACTACCTGCTGGGTCTTGGCCTCACCATGATCCCTCCAGCATGGCTGAATCTGTGTATCTTCTCCTGCCTTCCTGGAAAAGTGTGTGCCTTTCCTTCTCCCTGCTTCAAAGGCCAACCCTCTGCTGAGCAACAATCCCACCTATCTCAACTGCTCCAAGGCTTTGTTCTCTGTTCTTTTGATTAAACCCTCTCAACATTGCTCCATCAAGCTCCACTTTTAAAAGCAACTCATTCTCAGTAACGTAACATGTTGTATTAGATAAAACTACTGAAATTGCCATTCTCATAGGTAAAACATAGTCAAATATCACCGATTTTGTCAGTTCAACTTATTATTTGTTACGTACATCTAAAAAAGTCAAACTCCTTGCTTTCCCCGCTTTCTGTCCTTAACCCCAAGTGACAGTTAATTTGGGGTTCAACTTGACTAAAGAATATCCAGATAGCTGGTCAAACACTGATTATTCTCAGAGCTTCGGCAGGCACTGAGCCCATCCTTTATCTACTGAAAGTGAAACCCAGGTGGTTTGAAAATCGATTAGAATTAATGAGCTGCTCCAGGTGTATCTGTGAGAGCGTTTCCAGAGAAGATAGTGTGTGAATCAGTGGACTGAGTGGAGAAGATATGCCCTAAATGTGGCAGTCACCATCCAATCAAATGGGAGCCCAGATGGAACAAAAAGGCAGAGAAAGGGCAAATTCTCACCCTCTCTCTCTGACAGCCTGACCACTCTTCCTCTCTAGCCCTAGATGTCAGAACTTCAGGCTCTCCAGCCTTTAGACTCCAGGACTCACACCAGTGGTACCTGGGCTCTTGAGCCTTCCGCCTTAGAATGAGAGTTCCACTATTGGCTTCTCTGGTTCTGAGACCTTTGGACTTAGACTAAGCCGTGCTACCAACTTCTCTGGTTCTCCAGCTTCCTGATGCAGATGGCCTATAGTGGAACTTCTCAGTCTCCATAATCAAATAAGCCAATTATCTTAATAACTCCCTTTACATAAGAGAGAGAGAGAGAGAGAGTGTATGTGTGTGTGTGTGTGTGTGTGTGTGTGTGTGCGCGCACGCGCGCACGCACGCGCGCCTGTCCTATCAGTTCTGTCTTTCTGGAGAACCCTGAATAAAACACCTTAGTTCCCCTTCAGGGCCCCAACGACTTCATGTACCAGGATTATCAAGAGTCTCTCTTTACTCTTTATCCTCCTTCCTTACAAATTCCCATTCATTCATCTGCCCATTACAATCAGCATCTACTCACAACTGCACCAAAACTGACCTTGTAAAGTCCCCAAAGACTCCCATGTTTCAAGCCTGATGAAAAGCACTCTGCCCTTACCTTATCTATCATCTCAGAGAGTATTAGGCAGAGTGGAGCACTCCTCTCTGGAAACATTTTCTTTACTCATTTCCTGTACAACATGCCCTAGGTTTTCCTCCTGCCAGCTGTTTATGAGTCTCCTTTGCTGGCTACTTCTCTTCCAATCTCTAAATGTTAAAGCACTTCAAGGTTAGCTCCTTGAGCAAATACCTCTCTATACTCTCTTACATGATCTCATCCACTGTATGATTTAAATTCCATGATGTTTCCCATATTTATATCTCCTGCCGGAACCTCTCCTCTGAAAAACAGACCCATATATTCAAATGCCTACCTGATGTCTCAAATTGGCTTTCAAACTTAAGTTCAAAAATCATCCTCCCCAAAAAGCCACCTACAGTCCTCAGATCTCCAGTAAGAGGCTTTAATCTCTACCTAGTTAAGCACCCTTAAAATTAAAACATCGTACACCAGTCAGTAAAGACTGAATATATCTTTCTCTCAACTTAGGTTCACCTTAATCTTATCTCCGTTTCAAGCCAGCTCCTCCCTACCCTAAAACCATTGTACATAGTCTCCCTTTACATAATGCTTCAACCCTCATGCCAAATGTCACCTCTGTATAGCCTTCCCCAGCCATTCTAAAACAGTCTCCTCAATTTACTGTTTGTCTCAACTTATGTGTTGTTTCTCCTACAGTGTTGTTATTGTTTATCTCAACTTATTTGTTGTTTCCTCCACAGTGTTATTACAATTATCTATTTTATTCATGTATTGCTTCCCTCTTTTCCTCACTAAATGGATCCCTATATCGACAACAGGCACCATACTCAAGTACTGTACCCCGATGCCTGCTTGGCTGACACACAGCAGAATCTCAGGTTGTTAAGTCCGGACACACCCACCTCTGCACTCAGCACCTGACTCTGCGCCCCACACCTGGCTCTGCACTGGGCACCTAGCTCTGCCACATGGCTCCCCTGGAAGGCTCCGGCTGGCCGGCTCTCACGCCGGAAAACCCGCCCAACAACCCACCAACCAACAGCGGCCTGCCCCGTCCGAATCCCGCTCCCCTGGAGCCAATCAGAGCACTCAGCTGTTGCTCGGTCCTCCTAGCCATAAACCCTGCCCCGCCCCCTCCACCCCAGGAGGTCAGCGCAATTTCTCTGGCCCCCTTTCCCCGGACCAGAGAACCTCGCCCAGGAGCTGAATAAATTGGCATTTAATTTTCTTATACTGGCCTCAGTTTCCTCATTTTAAACTCGGCAATAACCCTTACACAGGTATTTATTGGGAGAAAAAAAAGACGGAAAGAAAAAAAAATGGTGTGTAACATTTTTTTCTAAGTAGTCAATGTTATGTTTTGGCATATAAACCCATACCAAAAGTAATACAAATAAAACACATTAACCATTTTGAAAGAAAGAAAATCCAAAAAAGTCTTCACTGTATCCCAAAAAGTAGGTAAGAATGAGAAGGAAAGAGCTAATTAATAGAGTGGTTTTCATGGCCTGTTTGGGAAATAATATAGAATGGAACTCACGTTTAGTCACAGGATGACACTTATGACCTTGTGAATAGAGTACAATACATGGTTTCCTTTCTAGAGCAAAGATTATGGATTCTGTATAGTCCAATCAAAAGATTTCCATTTTCACTACCATCGGTAACCTGGCTCAAGAGACTGTTTTCACCTCATGTGGTGAGTGAAGGGAGTTTGGAAAAAGAACCTCAAGATAATTCTGGACTAGTTCTTATCATGGTAGTGACTAAGATCTGCACTCAACCAAATCAAGCTTCTAGTTATAAGAGCTTTAGAAGATATATTATGTTTATAATATACCCACCAATAGTAGCATTCAAAAGAAACAAAACTTTACCCCAATGTGTGTATATGTATCTGAAATTTATGATCTATACCACCTTTCATTTATGTTTTTTTTCCTTCAAATCTAATTCTGTTGGATTCAGCATATCACTCCAACATATCAAGTTCTTTCTGGACTCTGATTGTGTCATCAGATGTGCCCACCATGTAAGAGCAAAGATTACCTTTATTTTTAATGACTTCCTTCACAGATAAAGGTGAAAGAAATTAAGCTTAATGATTAAGCACATGGGCTCCAGTTCAGGCTATCTAGCTTCCAATACTAGTTTTGGCACTACCGGCCATGTAATCTTAGGGAAGTAACTTAATCCTGGGCCTCAGTTTCCTTATGGGCAAAATGCAGATGCTAATACCCATTGCTTGGAATGGCTATGAAACAATTTATGATAGGACGTGCCAACAAGTAAGCACTGAAGAAGGTATTACTGCAGCTGCTGCTACAAAATAAAAGCATGGCTTTTGAAAAATCACTTTGAAGTGTACTACAATATGTACCTCCAGACAGTATGCATCATAATTAAGAACAGACTCTGATGCCAACCAAAATTTGAATTCTGGTACCACTACTTAATGGCTATGTAACTTTGAGCAAGTTCAAAGCTATATAACTTCTCTGTGCCACAGTTTCCTCATCTATAAAATGGAGAGAAGTAATACCTAATTCATAGGGTTGTTATGAGGATTAGTTAGCATCTGCAAATAAATTTAAAGAGTGCCTGGTACAGTAAGCAGAATTCCCTGTCCTAATCCCTGAAGTCTGTGAATACCTCACCTTACATGACAAAAGGAATTTCACTGATGTGATTAATTTTAAGGCTTTGAAGATGGTAAGAAAACCCTATCTGACATGACAAAAGGAATTTCACTGATGTGACTAATTTTAAGGCTTTGGAGATGGGACTAAAACTCTAGAATATCTGAGTAGGCCCAATGTAATCATAAGGGAAAAGAGGAAAATGGAAGAGTCAGGCCAGAAAGGGAGATTTGAGGACACAAGAAATCACAATGATGCTATTGCTAGAAGGGGGCCTTGAGCCAAGGAATGCACTCAGCCTCCAGAAGCTGGAAAAGGCAGGGAAACAGATTCTCCCCTGGAGCCTCCAGAAGGAATACAGCTCTATAGACATCTTTATTTTAGTCTAGTAGGAATTTTTTCAGACTTCTGACCTACAGAATTGTAAGACAACACATTTTTTCTTGTTTTATGCCACTAAGTTTGTGGTGATTCGTAGGGCAGCAAGAGGAAACTAATATACCTCGCAAAGAGTTGGCCCTATAAAGCTTTTAAAATGTTCTTATGCTTAGTCCTTCTTAGAGAAAGCCTTACCCAAATCTCCATCATCAGAGCTGGAGAGGCATGACTCTAAGGAGCTGTGAGCCCAAGAAATGGAGGGTAAGGCCATGCAACCTCATAAGTTGTCTCTCAGGGGCATAATTTAGTCTAACAAGGCTCTACACCTAACTTTTAATAAAGGAGTAAAAGACAGAGTTCCCCTTTATGGTTAAAAGTAATTTTCAGAAAAAGCAGCATCAACATCTTTATCTTAGACTGAGTTTTAGAGTCAAACAATTAAAAAGCTTTAAGCCATTCTGGAGCCACGGTGGGGCAAGTGGAGTAAGAGGCTGCAGTTTGCCAGGTGAAAGCCATGACAGCTTGGACAGGCAGGGAAGGAACATGAAAGAATGACAAGAAAGATGAGCTAGGAATGGGAGGGGCAGGAAAGAAAAAAAAATGGCCTTTCAGTTTTGTGCTGAGGCAAGGGGGAGGCTTATTGGGTGACATTGTAGAGAATCAGGACCATAAGCCAGTTCATTGGGGAGGAGATGGAGGGGCAAATGTTATATCCTGAAACTATTAGATATCTGAATGGTGGTGTCAGTGGACATGCAAGTCTGGAATTCAGGAGAGAAGTCAGTGCTAAATATTTAAACTTGAGTGGCCAGAATAAATATGAATTTCAAGCAATAGGAACAAATGGGATTACCTAGAGAAAGCGCACAGATCTGCCTTTTATGATTTAAAATGGCTCACCAGGCAATTCTCACACATCCCCAGTTAAGAACCTCCGCATTACAGCTAAATATAGAAACTGCAATTTGGTAAAAGAGAGTCTGTATTTCCAGCAGGGGTATCATCATTATTGTTGCAGTCCCTGGTCAGTAAGTCACTATTCAATCTCTACAGAAAAACTCTGCCTTTAGTCAGATCTCTGAAACTTAACAGGAAGGCTTTTGGGTTTGATAAAATAACAGGTAACCCTCCTAGTGCCCATTCCACCCCTTAAGATGTGTAGTGCTGAGGCCAAAAAGAGTGTGAACTGGGGCTGTGCCCACAATTCTGTATGTATCTCCACCTGTCCATCAACAAGCCACAAGCCAGTTATAAATTACCTTTTAATAGTATTTTCCAGACCCAAAGCTTAACATGCCTGAATTTCTTCCAAATTGTGGAATTTGTCTTTGTGCAACCACTTGTCCATTCAAAGAAATAAATGCCTTCATGATGTGAGCATAAAAAATACATAGTTACAGAATATCTTACCAAATCACAGGAGAAATACACTCTTTCCTCAGGCAAATCATTTTTCATAAACCTCACACCTTCCTAGGTATGACAGTAACAGAGGCTGCTCAGATGCAGGTAAGAGTGCCAAGCCCAACATCACGTGCTCTGGCAGGGCACTCAAGGGACTCATAACTGCAGGTGGGCAACCAACTTAGCAGCTGCCAGAATCACGACACAGGATCCAAGCCTTGACCTCGAATAACAGCATCTCATTCTCTCACCACCCTCCTCCAAAAACGTGATCAGGACTCCAGTTGCTGACGTTTTCTACAAGTTCCAGGAGGCAG